CATAACTATGAAAATTTCAATATGAATGAAGACATCAATGCTATGATAGATATATTTTTCGTGATTGTCAACGGTCTTAAGGGATTAAGAGAAGTTATCCCTAATGAGAAGCTTGTGAGAAAGATGATTTATTCTCTTCTAAAGTCTTGGCAATCGAAGAAGACGACGATCATCGAAGCTAAGAACCTAAAGTCTCTCACTCTTTATGAGCTTATTGGTTTTTCTCACTCATGAGTTGATGGTAAAGGAAGAAGATGACGTCGAAGAAAAGAAAAACAAGAAGAAAAATGAGGTAGGCATTGCCTTTAAATCCACCAATCAGAGTAATCAAGACTCAAGTGAAGAAGTGGATGATGATGATGAAGAAGAAGAGATGGACAAGCTCTTTAAAAGATTCAAGAGATTCATGACTTCTAAGGAAATGAAACATGAATCAAGGAAAAAAATGTCCCCCAATGTGCTTTGAATATCAAAGAACGGGGCATGTCAAGTATGATTGTCCCCTCATAAAGAAGAAGAGATCAAGTAATAAGAAGGCATTTGTGGAGGCTTAGAGTGATGAAGATGACTCCAATGATGAAGATGAAGTAGTCAATCTATACCTCATGGCCATCGAAGAAGATTTAATGGTAACTTCTAGCTCTAGTGAATCAAACTCTTATTCTTTTAATGAGTTACAAGTTTCTTATGATAAATTGTATTTGGAATTTGAGACCATGAATTCCAAATATAATAAATTGATTTCAAAATTCAAAGTTGAAAATGATTTTCTCTTGAAAGCTAAATTGGATTTTGAAAAGCAAAATGAAACTTTGAAAAATGATTCTAAGCATCCAAAAGCCAAAATTGAAGATTTGGAAAAAGTAAATCTTGAATTGAAAGTTAAGCTTGAATGCTTAACAAAAGAAAAACAAATCATTTCTAAAAACAATTCATCTATGTTAAAAATGACAAAATGCTCACATTGCCATTTTCATGGTCACAATGTACTTACTTGTCCTGTAAAAAAAAAGAAAATCTTTTAAAATTATACAAGTATGGGTTCCTTTGGGAACTAGAGACATTGGTACTAACCTTCTAGGACCCAAAGCAATTTGGGTAGCAAAACCCAAATAAATGTCTCTTGTAGGTGTGTTGGAGCAGTGGTGCTAAAGGTAAATGATTTCAATTATGTAAGTTATTTTGATTATCTTGCATAATTGGTTGCTCATTTAGTTTACACATGCATGAGTTTTGATTTTACATGATTTACGTTTTCTATCTCATGTATGTTCAAAAGAATTGTGAAGAAAAATTTCTAAAGTTTTAATGATTTTTCATGAATGTTTGTTCATCATAATGAATTTTGGTCAAAATTAGTTTTAATGTTTTATTTTTTTATAAATTTTAATTTTTGACCTTAATTTAAATGTTTATGCATGTAACTTATTGCAAATGATATCTCTCTATCAATTGATATCAATTTTTCAAATGCATAACATTTTTAGATAGCTTTATGCACATGCAATTAAATACTATAATTGGTATTGCATAAAGTATATTAGACTTGGATATATTGAATTTCATGTGCTACTAACATGTTTGTTCATCTTTGTTGAAATTCAATGTCTTTTAAGTGTGAAGCTTTTAAAGTATAATGCTTTTATTGAAGGAGAGCTTTGATTTTTCAAATGATTTTATGTTAATATTACTATTTACTCTCCATTGTTGTTTTGTACCTTAAAAGTTTGAATTATTTTTTATATAAAAAAGGGGGAAAGTATGAGTTTGAAAAATTCAACTTCATGAATGAAAAAGGAGGAGCTTTAATACTTTCCAAATATTTATCTTTTTCATGAAATATTTTTTTAAGAGGGAGTTTTGTCAAAAACAATTTTTCAAATGGTTTGTTATATCAAAAAGGGGAGATTGTTGAACTATGTTTTATAATATTTTTGATATAACAAATTAAGGCAAAATGTTTTTGGACTTGATTGAATTTGTTCAAAATTTTCAAAAATAATTCAAAGTCCATTAAACTAGAATTTGAGCACAAAATGATTTTCTAGTTATGTAGTGTCGATACTGTTCTTACAGTATCGATACTGCATGAACATTACCAATATTGTTCAAGCGGTACCGATACCAAAGGTGAGAGAAGTATCGATACTCTCCAGGTAGTATCGATACTACCAGATGTTTTCCAAATTACTCAAATTCCAGAATGCAAAATAGGTACAAATACTCAAAGGGGTACCGAAACTACTTTACATAATGGTATCGATACCATGAAGCATAATATCGATACTAGTCAAGCCCAATGGTCTTTAACGGCTAGTTTATTTAAATATTACAAAGGTAGTACCGATACTCATTAAAGGAGTGTATCGATACTCCCTGTCTTGGGTAGTTTTATTTTTTAGAAAATTAATCCCCAACGGCTAGAAACGACCAGAAGCTCATTCCAACATATAAAAACAAGTTGAGGACACATGAAGAAGGGTTAAAACACCTATCCAAGCAATCAAACACAAGAGAAGAGTTTTTTGTTCTTATTTTCCTTTCTCTTGTAAATATTAGTGTTTTAGTGAGCTTAAACTTTGCAAACACCTATCTTGTAAGGGTTTTCTTGTTTACATATTTTTACCTTTGAAAAAGGGGATTGGTTCTAGTTTAGCCAATTGAAAAACTAGGGAGTTGTAAAGGTTATCTCTTTATCCTAGAAAAAGAAAGAACAAATTAGTGAATTTGTTAGAAAATACTTAGTGAGGAGCTAAAGTAGTGGATGTAGACTTGGTTGAGAAGTCGAACAACTATAAATCCTTGTGTAAATTTTCCTATCTCTTTATACTCTTTACTCTCTAAACTCAAAAAGGCAATTCACCATCTCTTGGCAATTATTCGGTTGATAATTGAGCTTCATTCGAAATCCCAACAATGAATTGTATCGATAGTGTTCATGTGGTACCGATACCAAAGGTAAGAGAAGTATTGATACTCTCTAGGTAGTATCGATACTCTCAAGGTAGTATCGATAATACCAGATGTTTTCTAAATTGCTCAAATTCCACAATGCAAAATAGGTACTGATACCCAAGGGGGTACCAATACTACTTAACACAGTAGTATCGATACTATGAATTATAGTATCGATATTGGTCAAGCCCAACGGTCTTTAATGGCTAGTTTATTTAAAAATTACAAAGGTAGTCCCAATACTCATTAAAGGAGTATTGATATTCCCTGTCATGACAGTTTTATTTTGCAGAAAATTAATCTCCAACGGCTAGAAACGGTCACAAACTCATTCCAACATATAAAAACAAGTTGAGAACACTTGAAGAAGGTTACAACACCTATCCAAACAATAGAGATCAAGAGAAAAACTTTTTCTCTCTTTATTTTTTCCTTTTCTCTTGTACATAAGTGTGATTGAGCTTATTACAAATCTTTTAACTGTTTTCTTGTGAGCTTAATTCTTGTAAACACCTACCTTTGTGAGGTTTTCTTGTTTACATATTTCAACCTTTATATAAGGGAATGGTTTTAGTTTAGACATTGAAAAACTAAGAGTTTTGTAAAGGTTATCTCTTTGTCCTTGAAAAAGAAAGAACAAATTAGACACTTTATAAATTAGGGATGAGTCTACAATAAATGTCATTTATCGATATGTATCACTAATGCTAGATACCGATATGTACCATTATTTTTTTATGTTTTAAAATTTTGAGGGATTTAAGTTGCAATTAATCCTTTTCAAGATAGTATTTCAATAATGGTGGGACTGTAACTGCCATTTCATTTTCAATCTATTTTGAATTTTAAATAGTATTTAAATAAAAATAGTATTTAGATAAATTATAATTATTAATTTAATTTAATAATGATAATATAAATTAATAGTGGCTTAAGGGTTTTTTTAAATTCCCAAAAAATTTACGCACTCTTTTTATTTTTCAACTGATCTTGTCTCTGTCGTTTAACTAATATACAACACAAAGATAATATTACTATTATAATAAAATAATAATCATATTTAAAAATATATTAATATTATGTATAATATATATATATATGGTAATAAAGTAATATTAACTATAATAAATATAAAAATATAATATTAACGATAATAATATAAATAAATATTCAATGCCATATTAAATACTAAAATAAAATAAATAAATGTTAAATAAAGCTTCTACTAAAGAAAAGAACAAAATTCAAATTAATTCCACTAACATAATTCTTAGACAATCCGCGCATTACCAATCTTTATTTTGTTGCCAATAAAAAACAGTTGGATCATTCTCCATTTTTTTCCAATTCATGACTATATGAAGCTTACAATAAAAAATGAATAATATTAAGATACACAACAATAAAAAGTAACTATTATTATATTTTACATATTAGGTGTCTTAAATATGTCGCCTTCTTCGTATGTGTCGGGCATGCACATAACTATTTTTTTATAATTGAAGAGCATCAATATGTTCCTTGTCATGATCAGAAAGCTTATTTAGAGAACATGCTTGAGTTTTATTTGAGTCTAATATTACATATTTATCTACTCCATAATATAACATATTTGAGGGGTTAGATGATGAACTTTGACTGAATTTAGGGTCAATTTGATATTTTATCTGAACTTAATGGGTTAAATTAACATTCTATGTAAAGTCTATTGTCAAATTATATTTTACCTAAAATGCATGAATCAAGTTAAAACTTAACTAATTCTTACTAACATGACACGTCATAGACTAAAGGGAGTTAACGGATTATTGACAAAAATTATGGCAGATCGAAAACTAAAGTGACCAAAATATAAGTTTTTTAAAATCGGTTACCAATAAGACATGCCAAAAACGATAGTATCACCAGTGTAGTTTACTCTAATTTTAAATGCAATATAAAAATAAAAATAAAAATAAATTTATCTCTTGAAAATGCTGTAAATCTCTTTCCTTTGTGTTAATAACTAAAACCAAATTACCATTAATGTTATTTCTATCGTTTAACTGCGAGAGTGCAGCTCTCGCGATTCCGTCAATCCTTTGTCTTTGAAAGCTCTCTTTTCTCTTACACGTCTCTTTCCGAACAGAAGCCAACGCCAGGCTTTCTCAAATGGCCGGCGGAGCCGCCTTCCCTCAAGACGGCGGCGCCTCTCCCGTCTTCTTGCTCCGCCTTGTCCTCGAAATCGTCTCCGCCAATGCAGCCGACGGAACTCACGCCGCCCATTCCCTCTTTAATAAGGATTGCACGGATCTGGTTAGGAGGATTGCTCTGTTCACGCATTTGCTCGAGGAAATCAGAGATTCTTGTGGATCCTCTGATAATTACCATGCGAGTGCTTCCTCTTCCTCTGCTTCTTCATGGTCGGCGGATCTGGCCGTGGCTCTCCACGCGGCTAAACGTCTTGTGTCCGTTGCCTCCGCCTTCAATTCCGATAATTCCTCCGTAAATAACTCATCTCTCTCTCTCTCTCTCCTTTTTTGTAATGAGTGATATAATTGGATTAATTGATTCTCGAAGTTTTTTTAATCAATGTTGATATGTTGTCATGCTTGTTATTTTTCCATTTTAATAGTAACAATACGCTTCATTTTGGATTATACTGATTAGGTCAATTGTTATGCGAAATTGATAGACTTTGACACTTTTCCTCCTTCCATGTCAATTGCTTTAACTTTGATAGATAGCTCCACTTTTGCAGGGATTTTTTTTTTGTTGAGGAAAGCACAGATGTTGCTGGATTTTTATTGTTGATATGCATATTTCTTCTTAATATGTTTTGTTCTAGTATGACTCTAAAATTTTTTGTATCTTGATTCAAGGATGGAGTTGCCAAAAGATTGTCTTTCCAATTCCAATGTGTTACATGGAAGTTGGAGAAAGCTTTAGGGAAAATCCCATATGATCAATATCAAATCTCTGAGGAGGTTCAAGAACAGGTTTAGCTCCAGAATTTAAATGTTTCTGCATTTTTCCCATATATTCACTTGCATTTTTAACACTGAAGTCCTTTTTCAGGTATCATTGGTAAGAGCACAATTGAGAAGAGCAACAGAAAGATACGGGTCTTTGAATTTGAGAGAAGTTTCAAATGCATTGTCCCAGCGTCTGGAAAAACATTGTGGGTGTACCAACAGTGAAATTTCTGCAAACCTGGATAGTGTTTCAGAAAACCGGGGTATGATGAGTAAAAGATGTGATGCAGATCCGAAGATTAAGATATTGGAAAGAGAGAAGAGCTCTTTGACCTATTCTGAGGTTTCCCTATTGGATGAAATTGATCTCAATGGGCTAGATACTGTAGCCAATAAGTTTCCTAAAGAAACAAAGAAGCCTGATGCACTAGTAATTCCTGAAGATTTTCTATGCCCTATATCTTTGGAACTAATGAGGGATCCGGTGATTGTGTCCACAGGACAGGTAATATGCTCTCCGCCTCACCCAACTACTACTTACATTTCGGTTTCTTTTTCTGTAGTCAGCCTTTGCCTTTTTCTATGTCTTTTGATCTTGCCCATTGATTCAGCATTATCTTGATTTTACAGACATATGAGAGGTCTTACATTCAAAGATGGATAGATTGTGGCAATTCAACATGTCCAAAAACTCAGCAGAAGCTGACAAAATTAACTCTAACGCCTAATTATGTTTTGAGAAGTCTGATAACACAGTGGTGTGCTACACATAACATCGAGCAGCCAAGTGGATTAACAAATGGTCGGCTTAAAAAGAGCGACGGTTCTTTACACGATGTTAGTGGTGACATGGCAGCCATCCAAGCTCTGGTCTGTAAATTATCAAGCCGGTGCTTCAAGGAACGTAGGGCTGCTGTGGCTGAACTCCGGTCATTATCTAAAAGAAGCACAGATAATAGGATATTAATTGCCGATGCAGGAGCGATACCTGTTCTGGTCAACCATTTAACAACAGATGATGTGTCATTACAAGAAAATGCAGTGACTTCAATTCTTAACCTTTCCATATATGAAAATAACAAGTCTCTTATTATGCTTGCTGGTGCCGTTCCTTCGATTGTTCAAGTTCTCAGAGCTGGAAGCATGGAAGCAAGAGAGAATGCAGCAGCAACCCTTTTTAGTTTGTCATTCGTGGATGAGAACAAAATAATAATCGGTGCATCTGGGGCAATACCTGCTTTGGTAGATTTGCTACAAAAAGGGAGTGCTAGAGGGAAGAAAGATGCTGCAACTGCTCTGTTCAATCTATGCATCTATCAGGGGAACAAAGGCAGGGCTGTGAGAGCCGGAATTGTAACAGCGCTGCTGAAAATGCTTACGGATTCGGGGAATTGTATGGTTGATGAGGCTCTAACAATACTTTCAGTTCTTGCTAGCAACCACGATGCTAAGGCTGCTATCATAAATGCTAGTACCATACCTGTTTTAATCGATCTTTTAAGAACAGGTTTGCCCCGCACCAAAGAGAATGCATCTGCGGTTTTGCTGGTGTTGTGTAAAAGAGACACAGAGAGTCTTTCCTGCCTAAGTCGGCTTGGAGCCGCCATTCCCTTGACGGAGCTTACAAAAAGTGGTACAGAGAGGGCCAAGCGAAAGGCTAGTACATTGTTGGAACATCTTTGCAGATTACAGCAGCAGTGATCGTTATGATCGCACTAGACAGTATGTTATTCTATTTATTAATTTATTTCCGATCGACTCTAATATTTCGACAGAGTTACCATTATATTACTTTCAGACATGAGAATTAGGGAGATGAGCATGAGATACAAAGTCATTCTCATTGCTCTCGCTACTTATTCATTTCTTTCATTGATGAGTTACCATTTCTCTCTCTGATTTCTCTTGCTAGTAAACTTGTATTGGGTTTTAAGATAAGATTATCCCATGATAAACAAAGTAGCAAACAAAAGCATTTTTTTTTAAATAAAAAAGTAAAATGTTTCTATTAAAGTTTGTTATGTTTGTTATTACTATAGACTATGTAAGTCCACACTCTGTATTGAACTAATAAGAAATGAACCACCTAACATCAGAAATATTCTTAACCGGAGATGGGCCCCTAATGTCACAATGGATAAGAGAGAACGACTGAGATGGTTTATATGAAGATGGAGGATAGGGATTGCGTTTTGCTAACTCACATATGTCACAATGAAAAGAGGATAGATTTTGATTAAAAAATAATTTTGGAAACAAGCGTTTTAAATGATGGAAACTAGGATAACCAAGGCGAAAGTGCCATAACAGGATGTCATTTGAGTTTAAACTAGACATTAGGGAAGAAAAACAAACAATATTGTTGGTGCAAATCGATAGGGCTTGTCTTTTAGGAGGAGATTGACCTTCAAGAATGTAAAGTCCACCACACAGATCAGCATTGCCAATCACCTTCTCCGAGTCCAGTTCCTGAAAAACACAACCAACAAAACTGAATTAGTACGACAATGAAGATCAAGGCACAATCAACTAACATATAACAAATTGCACTGAAGATTTGGAACATAGAGAGCATTTTGAAGCATAAGATCACTGTTAAGAAACTCGGATCCAACACCGTGAACAGCAACTAAAGTTCCATCAGCAGTCTTCACCATGGTATTATATTGCGGCCACAACGCATTGTAACACGTTACGCAACGTCCGTGTAACAACCGCATCGTAACAGTTTTGAATGCCACCGCGACGCAATATTATAGCAATGCAACCGCCCGTGACAGCAGCAACACGTTACGTAACGTCCGCATTATACTATGGTCTTCACATGTCTTTGAATGATTGGCTGTGAAATCGTTTGAAATTGGCTATGGTTTCCTGTCATATGATCAATAGCACCAGAGTTGACTATCCATGAAAGTAGCGTAGAATTTGAGTAAAACGTGAAGTTATCAAACTGTGTTGTAGATGCAGAATTGGTTTCAACTGAAGAGAGTGTCTGCCGAATTGATTTTTTGAGATCCGCGAGCTGCTACGAATTGAAGGTAGCTGAATTTTCTGCAATGACTGAATTTTCTACGTTGGCTGAATTTTCTGCAATGACTGAATTTTCTACGGTGGCTGAATTTTCTGAAATGTCCAAGGAAGAAGAAGACTCAGCCAGGCCAGTGTTTACTTTCATAGAAGTGACAACCATCGTGAAGGGATTTTTTAAGTGGGAAAGTACCAAGCTGATACCATGTAGTTTCTGGAGAAATAGAATTCTGATTTCTATTTCATAAGTTTGGTTACAAGAAAGAAGAAAGTCCCCATCCTTTTAAAGACCTTGTACAAGTAGTTTAACCTAATTCAAATTCTATTTAAAATTTAAATTAGAGATAAACTGAAAAAATATATCCTAAACTAACTAAAAAACTATCTACAAAATAAAATAAATTTTATTTACAATCTACACAAGGGGTTCACGTGCAGTTATCATAAATGCATGAACATCAAACCCTAACTGACTAAACCTCTTAACTACTACGCAAAGTCAAAGCACACCAAGTGCCTTATTCATTCAACATTCCTTTCTTCCCTTTTTTTATTCGCACAACTAGACACAGACTATGTCCTTGAAAACTTCAAAAGTTGCCTTCATTAATGGTATAGTCAAACCATTAGCAAACTGATGCTAAGCAAGCACATAGTTGACGCGAAGCACATCGACGACCACCTTTTCTCGTACAAAGTGTATATCCAGATCAACGTGTTTGGTGTGAGCATGATAGATTGGGTTTGCAGTCATGGCAGTGCCACTTGTGTTATCACACCACATGTCCAGAACAGTGCCAGACTACAACCCTAAGTCACCAAGCAGCGTAGCAACCCACGTCACCTCTGCCTCAGCATCAACAACACTTATATACTCGGCCTCCATGGTTGAACGGGATACGATTTTCTACTTCTTTGTTGCCCATGCAACAAGACAATAACTAACAACAACACCATAACCAGACACAGAGTTGCGATCTTCAACACTGCCCACCCAATCTACATCAGCAAATGCTACCAAAGCCGAGCCAGTCTTCGACTGAGCAAACGTTAGCCCGTGATTGACTATTTCAGTAAGGTCTCGAAGAACACGCTTGACACCAACAAGATGTGACTCACATTGAGTATGGATAAATTGAGCCACCTTGCTCACACTAAAAGAGATATTAGGTCGAGTGTGACATAGGTACAACAAGCTCCTCACAATACTTCGATATTCACGTGGATATTACAATAACTTACCTACTGTGTTAGTTAATTTCAAGTTCACAGCCATTGAAGTAGGAACAGGTGTAGATTCCAACATGTTTGTCTTAGTCAACAGCTCTAACAATAACTTTTTCTAGCTAAGGGATATAACTCCATCACTCCTCCGAACCTGAATCCCAAGAAGTAATTCAATTCACCTAGATCATTGAGAGAGAATTGTTCATGTAGCAATTTCACTAACCTTTCAATCTCAGCATCAGACTGCCCAATAAATATAATGTCATGGACATAGACCAATATGTATGTATGCATGACATCCATCTCCTTCACGAATAGGGACGTATCAGCCTTAGACTCATGAAACCCTTGTTGGAAATGAAACACTCACACAAACAACTTTTATTGAAACTCAAACAAATATTACAAGAGCACTCTCACTCAAAAACAAGATACTACAACTCACTCTTATAAGACTTTGTTTCTTCACTCACTTAGAAGCTCTTAATTTTTCTTGATTCATAAACTAAAATGGGGAAGGGTATTTATACTACTTAAGAACAATCCTACACTACACAAATAAACTAATTTAAACCATTTAAAAATGAGACACATACCTAACTCTCACCTAAATTTCATACCTAACTTTCACCTAACTAATTTGATGTAAGCAATGACATCAAATTAGTTTGGGTTTGGGTTTAGGCTCCCATAATGGATCAAGTTTATGATTCAACACTCCCTTAAACTTGATTTTGTGAACCCTAGTAAGTTCCTTAATCTTATGAAGTCTTCGCTATTCAGTGGCTTAGTAAAAATATCGACAACTTGATCTTGTGACTTCACGTATTCAACTTCTACATCGTTTCTTGCAACACACTCCCTTATATAGTGGTAGCGAATATCGATGTGCTTACTTCGATCATGGAATACTGGATTCTTTGCTAAGGCAATGGCTGACTTGTTGTCGACACAAACCTTGGTAGGTTCTTCTTGTATAAAACATATCTCCTTCAATAGATTTCTAAGCCAAATTGCATGACAAACGCATGAGGCAGCAGCAACATATTCCGCTTCACAAGTGGACAATGTGACAATCGGTTGTGTCTTTGACATCCATGTGAAAGCAGTATCTCCCATGAAAAATACAAATCTAGTAGTGCTCCTTCGATTATCTATATCTCCACCCCAATCACTATCGCTATATCCAACAAGCTTGTAATAATTAGAAACTGAATAGAACAAGCCAAAGTCAATTGTACCTTTCAGATAGCGAAGAATTCTCTTTGCGGATTTAAAATGGGTAGTTATTAGAGATTCCATGTAGCGACTAACCAATCCAACTGCGTAAAGAATATCATGCCTCGTGCAAGTTAAATAGCGTAGACTTCCCACCAAACTTTTTAAGAATGTTGGATCTACACTTTCTCCTTCTTCATGTTTGGACATCTTGATCCCGTATTCTTTCGGTGTCCTTATTGGCTTACAGTTCTCCATCTTGAACTTCTTCAGGATCTCCTTTGCATAGCTTTCATGTGAAATGAAAATTTCACCCTTTTGTTGCTTAACTTCAATGCCAAGGTAGTATGTCATGAGCCTCATGTTTGTCATCTTAAATTCTTTCATTATCATATTCTTGGATTTATTAAACATGTTTGAGTTGCTTCCGGTGAAGATCAAATCGTCCACGTATAGACACACGATCATAATATCTCCATCTTTGATCTTGATATATAGAATGTGCTCGTAGGGACATTTGTTGAAGCCATTCTCTTGGAAATACTTGTCGTTTCGGCTATTCCATGCCCTTGGTGCTTGTTTTAGCCCGTAAAGAGCATTCTTCAACTTCAACACCTTGTTTTCGTTCCCTTTGACTTCATAGCCTGATGGTTGTTGAATGTAAACTTCCTCTTAAAGAACTCCATTTAGGAATGCAGACTTTACATACATCTGCTGTATCTTCCACTTGTTTTGAGCTGCCAAAGAAATGATTAGTCTGATAGTCTCCAATCGAGCAACAGGAGCAAATACCTCATAATAGTCAATTCCAACCTTTTGACTATAACCTTTAGCAACTAGCCTCGCCTTGTGCCTTTCAATCTGTCCTTTGGCGTTTTGCTTTGTTTTGTACACCCATTTGACACCTATCGCCTTATTTCCATTGGGAAGTGAGGTAAGTTCTCATGTGTCATTCTTCTCGATGGCCTTGATTTCTTCTTCCATCGTATCTCTCCATTTCTTTTCTTGTACTGCTTCTTGAAAGCTCATTGGTTCATAATCGACAAACAGATAAAATAATGTAATATTATATTGTCGTTCAGTTACATCATAGAGATCTCTAAGGCTTCTTGCACGTTGCACAACTCTTTCACTTTGACTCCCACTTGACGATGACGAATGTGATGAGTCTCCTTGAGTGGTTGATGTTGGTGAAGTGTGTGGAGTTTCAATCTCTTGTAGAGGTTCACCTAGTTGTTCCCTCATTGTCTGCTCATATTCTTCAAACTGAGGAAAGAAATTGATGCCACTTTGTTGGAAATGAAACACTCACACAAACAACTTTTATTGAAACTCAAACAAATATTACAAGAGCACTCTCACTCAAAAACAAGATACTACAACTCACTCTTATAAGACTTTGTTCTTCACTCACTTAGAAGCT